AGAAGATCAGGTGCAAAGGGAGTTGAAAAAGTCACCTGTATCACCTGTCGTCCCGTTGATCATCGACATCCTCGAGCGGGCGCCATTAACGTCTACATTCGTCCTTGGCACAACCCAGAGTGTTCCAGTGAATCGTTCTCACTTCAAGGAGGTCCAACATTTCTTTCGTCCAGAGCTTTCGTAAAAAAGTCTGACCATTTCGTTGGTGGCCGTCCTGGAGTTCGTTTGATGTCCCGAGGGATCTAGTCAGTAACTGCCCTGGTCCAACGGTCATCACTATATCGCATAACGTGTCCGGTCCACCTGATCTTCGATTTCTTGGCGTAATCAACGGCTTCCTTGATCTTCGTTCGAATACGGAGCACGAAACTCCTGATTCCCTTCTGCACTGGCGTGCATAGGGAAATTCCGAGCGTCGCCCTTTTCACAGTGCGCTGAATGACGCTGACTGCATGACCAACCTGCTTTCGTAGAGTCCAAGTCTCCGAGGCGTACGTCAAAGCAGGAAGGACAGCAGTGTCGAAAAGGTGAGCGTGGAACCGGATGTTCTCTATCTAAACTCACAACTCCCTTGACATTAATAGATGCTCCCCACGCCGTGCCTTTATTTTTCTCAGCTTCGGAGCTAGGTCGTTCATCACGTTGACTCCTTCACGTAGATAGCGTAGCTAGAGCACTCGGAGATATTCGTTCCAATGAGTGTAAAGGGAGCATCACGCAGAATTCAGCCTTAAGCAGATTTCAAAATCGCAGTCGAATTCGATCAGCAATCGTCCTGTGTGCTCCGTATGCTATTTATAAACACGATTTCATTTGCACAGCAGAGATGGCGTGAGTAGTGGCCGTTGACCTCAACTCCTAATTTTCCCAATCCAAATGACACACAATGTTCTCGGGAGCGGCCCTGAAAATTTGAGCGGTCCCTCGAACCCGACTCTTCTTACGAGAAGGATTTCGTGGGAGTAATGCGAATTATGGTCGCGAAGTTAAAGTAGAGCTCATCAAACATCCTTACATTTTGAGTATAACGCCCTGGTTGCCCAAACTATCAGACACAACGGCATCCCGTATTCTTGCGATACTTCAGTGAGTCTTGTAACAGTGTGGATGTGACGATTGTACTGACTCATCACCGGACTATGCTTGTTCTCATGGCTGTCTTACAGCTACAATTCTGCCGATCCTGTTAAGGATGGCGTTCCTTTGGCTGTCATACGACAAGAGGGATGACTTAGCGGCCATTGTCAGCCTTTATCTACTGATTTGATGCCTTGTCACCTATCATCCACAGTCCCTATGAATCCCGCATAGATCTTCAAAGTATCAGTTTTCCGTCACTTACGTCCGTCACTTATGCAAAAGGCGAAATTGGAAATTTACTCACCAATCAGTGCCATCTGACTTCTGCTATCCGAAGTTTCTTAGTAGTCATGATCAGTTGTTATCAGCTCCTGTCACAAAGCACCCACGACTTCATCACAGTCCACATCAACAATAGAGGCGCCAAGGTTCCACGGAGAGCTTTGCAGACCCAGTAGCTCTTGCCTTCCATGTATCCTTGCTAGCCCTTTACACTTCCTATCAGTCCTTGTCACCACTCACTTTCAACCCCTTTGCACCCATCATCACCAACCAAGGTGTTAGAAAAGCACAGTTGACAAATAACGATCTCGTGGATGTTGTCTTCCGAGACTATTTATCCACTGGATCACTTCCTCTGCCTACTCCCATTTACCCCGATTTGTTCAGAGATTTTGCTTTCTAGGTTTATCTAACTACCATAATGAACGTGATACGATGCATAGTATCAATGTCTATAAGTGCTACAAATCCGGTTGGGGAACTCGTTGATAAGGTATGAATGTCTGGAATTAGTCCATTGAGTTGAAGTTATCAAAGCTATCGCTCATTTCAGATTCTTTGGATCTCCCTCAAGTTCTTCTACATGACTTCTGAATTGAGCGTGCTAACTTTCGCTTTGCTATTTGGTAAGTAATAAATAATTTTTGATCTCAAATTTGACCTTGATCCAGGCGAATTTTTCTTCTGGGGGGAAGAGGAAAGGGAGAGGGGGGAGAGGATTGTTGGTTTTCATAGGCGCAAACTGAAGACTTATCGTAGTTGTTGTAGTAACATTTCTGTTAACCCTCTCTAGGGAATTTCTCCCAAACACGCTCCATTGTGGTGATTCAAGCCAATTTCTCAGTCATGTGAAAGGCTGTCATTGCAAATTATGGGAATTTTCGGATTGGGAATAGAAAAATTCTGAATGGAACGCGACTTGCATCACATTCACTCAGCGCCTTAATGGCATTTTATTGTGGTGGTCTTACAAGTAAAGATGAACCACGGAAGATATGAAAGTTACTTCCTCGCCTTACTACAAACCTGTTGCCCATTGACTGGCTATGAAGTGAAAGAATTGGAGCAGCAGTAGCGCCGTGCCTCTTGTCTCTGGACCACCTTCTAACGGGACTCTTCTAACTGGAACATTTGATCCCTTACTTTGCCTACACTATTTGTTTTAGGCCATCTTGATAGCTCAACTAGTATCAGAAGGGCCCTCGTCGCAACTTTATTAATCAGCCTTGCTCATACTGGTATCCAGTCTGTGTTGGAATTAAAACTTATTGATCAGGTAAGTAGAACTCCTATTTGTTAACAACTTCAGTTACTATTTTATCCTCCCGGATTAGTTCATCGTTTCCCATTTTCTTCAGTCAATCGCCGACGGTTTCTTCGACCTTCATTCAGAAGGGGGATTACTGTTCTGGTTGCTTACTTCTGCCGCTTTTGCTTTGGTAAGTTGTGTTATGAATACAGTTTTGTTAGAGTTCGTTCATCACAGGGGTTGTTTCACCTTTGCTATGCGGTCGTTCCGATCAACGTCACTCAACAGATTCAGATTTTCATCATCTCAGGCAATAATTAAATCCTCTCCCTTCTGTCTATGAAAGAAACTTGTCACTCCTATTCCACCTTACCCTTTGAAGGTTTTTGACTACTCTTAAATGTATCTCGTTTTGGGAGCAGTTTTAAATCGGATAGCTTGGATCGATTCTAGAGAGAATACGTCATAGATCCTGCCCAGTGTTGAAGGGCTGTTAAGGTTGATTTACCATCTAGTAAGGATTTGAGAGTGTCCCACGAGCTCGTAGCTCCAGGGTGGAGACGTAGATACATATGTAGCTTGATCTGAATTCTCTCCCAAACGTAAGTGCACAACATGACTTACATGACTACACTAGATTTGGTAGATTCTCTCGACTGAAAAATTTTGTACAAATTAAGCAGCACTGAGCTATGGGATCAGTTTCCTTGAGTGAACTTTGTTCAAGGGAAGCACGAAATTGGTAAATATCGAAAGCCTGTCAAACAGAGCTGGTGGCTCCTTAAATCCATGTAAATACGTTTTTTAAAATTGGCTAGTACCAGAACTAATTGTTTACAGGTATACCTTTTCGTCCTTTGCTTGCCAATCACATGCGTCAGAAGATATGTGACTCTACCAAGTGGGATTCGTTTGGTCTAACAGCTCTTTTCTTCCTGAAAAGTATTTGTTGGCGAAGTGGAGAATATATTTCCAGGCAAATGCTCTTTTTACCTATACTGCATGATGCTGTCATTCTTGAATATCCTTCAAGCGCTCGGAGCCCTTTTGCTATTCCTTCTTTCCTCCGACGGAATGTGGTACGGTGTTCTGTTCAATATTTTCTCCAACTATGCTTTTGGATTCACGTGTTTCCAAGAAATCTTTGAGTGACCGCGATCGTTTCAGTCTCGTCGATTTTTCAACGTATTTATATTTCTGCTTCTATACACCGATTGTGTACGTGACATTCTTGAGGAGGTCACTCAAGTAAGTTAAAGACTCGCAGGGCGATTGAATATTGGAGGCGCTCTGCAGAAAGCAATCTTCAACGAAGATGAAGGTTTTTAAGACTAATGGAGCGAAGCCTGGGTAGATTCTGTGTGGTAATAGCTAGATAGACGGTATGGGAAGATGTTGAGTGTACAATTTTGACTGGGGGAGGGAGTCGTTTGGAAAATTTGGAATGACGTCGAATTTTTAGCATGTCTAAATGTAGCTCTAGTGTCTCCCTCTTGTAAACTTTATTACTATTCGACAAAAATGTTCTTATTCTGATTTAATTTCCAGGCACCCAAGTTCAAGTACTGGCAACAGTCTGTTTTCCTACAGAAAACAGCGTGATGAGCATGGCTCTGGAGATCTGCCTGATTCATATTTCCCCCGCTTTTCTGGTAAGTATGAAACTATTAAGTGTTAAAGATCTGTGATCATTTCGTTTTCAAATTGGTGGTTAAGTTTTGGATCACACAGACATATATTTATTCACCAGTCGGATCGCCCGGCTAATGTAGTTCTCCCCCCTCTTTGTGACAGTGTTGTAATGATCAGGTATACCGACCAGCCCTTCTTTGGAACAGATGGTACTTCTCTGTAGCTGTGATTCGTAAATGCAACTGTTAAGCAACGAAAGCACTGTATGGTACACACAAATGTTGTCAAGCCCTGTACCACACAACCACGCATTATGGACGTCCTGTGCTAGTCCATTCTTTGTGATGTAGCGTTCATTAGGCTAGTTACGGACTTCTCCCGTTCCGGGTAATGCCCCTTCATGGAGTTCGTGGATCTGTTCGGACACTGTTATGCACATTAAAAGTTGTGACAGTTTTCAGAAACTCAAAAACGAACCTTTCAAATTACCAAGCCGATCGTTTGCGATTTGATTAGCATCGTTTTCTTCTTTTTTGGTCTTGCCAAGCGACCGCTGAAGAATTATTAGTTAATCAGTGAATAAAGGAACGGAGTGAAATTGACTGAAAAAAAGCCAGAATGCAAAAATGGCTTCATGGAAGTGTTCATTTGGAACTAAAGTTAAAAGCAAAATCAAAAGGGTCAAAAAGAGGAGGAGAAAATTTGATGACTTGTGATAAATTGTGATTATAAAGTGCAACTGATTACATCGATATAGATGAAACGAGGGGATACGCGGAGCGGCGGGATGTGCTTGAAGTATCTAGCAGGGAAGGGGCGTCTATCCTTTTTTACGCCCCATGGTGAGAACCGACCAGAAAGGATCTAGACAGCGATCCTCATATCAAATGCAGTTTATTTACTACCGCACGGGTACAGTATCGAGAAAGTAAAAGAGCTCAGAAGAATTCCAAATCCACAAGCGACAATTCATGCAAAAAAAAAAACACCTCGCGTTGTTGCTCGTATCAACATAAATTGAGAATGTCATTGGTCTTATTTGTCTGGAATCGTTGAATGAATTTTTTCAATTTTAGGCCTTACTTCGCCGTCCTACGACGACCTCTTCGATTGTTCTCCACGTTTCGGCGCCGTCACATATTCGGGCGCCCCATTAATGCTTTCCACAGCCGAAACAGCTGAATCAACTGTAACGACGAGAACGGGCTCTGATGAATGGGAAGCAAGGTACTTATAACTTCGATATTTCAGCTCCTAGGCTTTTTCCTGAATTCCAAAGAATTCCGTGGACGAGGGTTTTCTGCATTCAATTGTTGCGTCGGAATACATTTTTTTCATTCAAAAGAACAACTGTGGTACTTCTGGAGACTTGTAAATGCATATGGGGAATCAGTCACATGGCATTCGAAAGTTTGATTTAAAATAAACGCGAGATGACTTTTTTCTAAGGGGTTTTTCTTTTTTCTTTTGTTCAAAGGGAGCAATCAATAAGCTACTAGCTCCTATACACTTGGAAATATCTTGATAGTCAAGCTGTGAAGAGAAATTTGCGATAACTCATGTTGGGCTGAACGATTGGGGAATGAAAACGTTCGTGCTTGAGAAATGAAAAAGGGCACAAACAGGAAACTCGAGAAATCGGACCAGCGCCTTTTCCTTTTCAACATTTTACAAGGAAATGACGTCGTAAGAAAGCCGTTGAGTGAAATATCACTCTTTTTGTACTAATGTGACTTGTTTCGAGATGCAATAAGGTGGATATCTCTTCACTTCTCCAAGTCTTGGGGCATGACCTTGCTCAATCGGTTTAGTGCTAGCCTTTGTGCCAACTCAGCTGAGCTAGTATTGGGTTGATCAAGAAATTCTGATGGCGTTTTTTGAAAGTACCTGAACATTCGATTACTAACCGATACCAATGATGTTCTCACCATGTGGTAGTGGTACAACGTTCCAGAACCTTCTCCGTAATGAGTTCATGAATCCTCTACGACGCTAACAAACATCACGCCGTCTGGCTCCCGCGAGGAAAACGGCCGACGCAAGACATATCCAGCGTGCTCAAGCAAGGCTGTGGCCGTCACCGCTGCCTATTGGACTAGTCAGCTGCAAAAACATGCGGAAGCCATCCGGGGAAAATGGTCCACACCGACCTCTGTGTTTTTCCTCCATGCCCACACTCACATAGGTAGAGGGTCTCATGCAAAAGTGGAGGAGCTAGGCTGGGACATGGTTTCACATCCACCTTAACCACCTGATATTGTCCCCCTCAGATTCCAGGAACCAGGAACATTCTCAACTGATGCTATGTTCTCCTCCTTTCTCGCTAAGATTGTCTAGCCGCACCTTTTTAGACTTTGTACGCCCTAAGCCAGGAGAACAGGAGCTACTGAAATGCACTCCGATACACTTTGTGTTGGCCGGGCCCGCCATGAGCGGAGTTCTGCTCAAGACTTGTGTGTTTGGTACTTAGTTCATTCCCCATCTGCGTCCCTCTCCATCCGCCTCCCCTTGGAGTTCATGCGAAAATCGAGACCCGAGCTTAGGAGTCGGGATTTCAGACGAGATCCCATACATATGTCTGAAGTCCAAAGACTTTAGTCGTTACTTAGACACCAGTTGGGCTGCGCACGCCATCGCGTGCATATCGAGCAATACGTATTGGTTAGCGAGATCAATACAGTATCAATAGATTTCCTATTTCGGGGTATGTGTACGAAGTGCGTCCGAGGGTGCGCACGGCAAATTGCGCGGCGAAGTTCGTGACGATTTGTACGACTTTGGCGCCCATCATTGGGGCCCAAGTTTGAAAAAGAGTGGACTAGGAGAATATCTGACCCTACTAAACTACACTACTTCGAGTTTGTGCCTCGAAAATTGGCGCCGCAGTCGTACAAATCGTTACGAACTTCGTCGCGCAATTTGCCGCGCGCACCCTCGGACGCACGTTCGTACCGTCCCCCCCCCCCCC